TTCGGTATCCGCTTCTGGACCGTTACATATTCTGTATTTTCATGGCTGCTACCATATTTTAAGCGTGTTAGTTATATATATTTGTTGGAAACATGGTCTTGGGGCAGGTAGTTTGGAATTGAATATGCCAGGGAATTGTATGCTTTGGTATTTTTTTTATCTTCCTCCAGTTTTGGTGCTTGAAATAAAAAGGGCCAGTCTTTGTCAATGTTTATTCCCCTTTCTCTGCATACTTTATTCTGGTTGAAAAACTACACTTGGGTAGGTAAAAGGAAGCCATGTTTCATTTCATACTTACCAAAGCACCATATCATCTCTAGAAAAACTGTTTCTTGTTTTTCCATTCAGTATACTAGGTGGAGCGATTGCTATCAACAGTTCATATTTGTTACTATGTAAAGGTAAAAGGATCACATTATCATCAAAACTCAAGACCAACAGCAATGTTTTCACATTGTACCCTAAAAATAAGATATCAAAAGCAGTAAAGGAAAGCATCTATGTTAACATGGTCAATAGGGGCTTTTCATCTTAGCATCCCTACCATCTAAATACATAAATATGGATACATACATCTAACTTGTGTACAATAGCTGAAGCTAGGCAGAAACTTCAAACTCCAGTTGTTAATATTAATAATTTAATGAAACACGCACTGATTCTCCACTCATTTTGCCTATCTTGCCTCTTGGAGACGCATTCGTATTGATTCTGGGCTTGCCACTTTATTGATGCTGCAAATAATGGATAATTCGATCGATTAGAAACATTTCTTAAATACAAACATTTGCTAGATTTTGTAATAAATGAGGGTAAAAATTTAGTTAAGACTAACCAAACAAGTAAATCCCCAGCAGAAGCCATCTTTTCATATATCCATTCTGGAGCTAGCTCTTGCAACAGTTTTAACTGCTCTTCAACTTCTCCTGTGAAAGAAGACCAAAGACATAGTTCAGCTAATGTTTTCCCGATCCAATCAAATATCATGAGATGCAAACTGTAGCTAAAAGGTTTACATCTATCTATAATATCACAGTGACCAGCAATTAGTTTGTGCATAAGCTCCTCTTTTGTAATAACCGACTGATTTATGGACTGGAAAAATAGTGAATCATGTTGAAGAGCTTAGGTAGGCAGGCAATCATTGGTTGCCGTCTCTTTGCTTGTGAGATTGCTGGATCTCGCTCCTCCAATGCTTTCCTCTCTTTCTCCCTTATCTGCAAGGATAATGAACGATTACCTAATGCTTTTTACTCAACTTCTCCTGTGAAAGAAGACCAAAGACATAGTTCAGCTAAGTTTTCCCGATCCAATCAAATATCATGAGATGCAAACTGTAGCTAAAAGGTTTACCTCTATCTGCAATATCACAGTGACCAGCAATTAGTTTGTGCATAAGCTCCGCTTTTGTAATAACCGACTGATTTATGGACTGGAAAAAATAGTGAATCATGTTGAAGAGCTTAGGAATGCAGGCAATCATTGGTTGCCGTCTCTTTGCTTGTGAGATTGCTGGATCTCGCTCCTCCAATGCTTTCCTCTCTTTCTCCCTTATCTGCAAGGATAATGAACGATTACCTAATGCTTTTTACTCATGCAGCAATCAAGGCCAAACCCTTACAACCCCCATTCACTATTTGATTTCACTTCCAACTGAATTTTGTGCTAAATAATGCCAAGAAATCTTGAGAGTAATACTGTTTGGAAATACTAGTTTATGAACCTCCATTTTCCTTGGGATAGGATAAGAAAGGTGGATGGCTCATTTCCAGATGGAAGTATTATATCTAATAGAAACTAAAACTTGCATAATTCATGTTTTAAAAAGATGATAGCAAAAAGATTTCTAAGTGGGTTTACCGAGTGCCAAAGGCTTTCAGGCAAAATAGAAAGAACATCATCTTCGTCATTATCTGCTGGTTTGCCTGCCATTTCTTGCACTTCACCAACAAGTTTCTCTTCCTTCAGGGGAGTGTCAAATTTCAAGGACCTGGTACGTGGTGGTCGGCGTACCAGCTTGCTTGATGAAGTAACAGAAACCTCATCTGGGCTCATGTAACATCTCTTTTGTGACTGTAGAGTAAGTGTGGCAGTCATCAGCCTGGCAGGAGTTGAAGCGAGTTTCACAGGAGTGGAATCAACATTAACAGCTTTCATAGGGGACTCATCTGCAGTTTTCAATGGATTTAACTCTTTGACTGGAGTTGCAGGGAGGCAATTTTTGGGATGTGTCTCACTGGTAGTTTGTTTAGATAAAATCTTAGTTGGGGATGGAGTTCGAGCAAAGGTAGTGTCACCACTGGAGGCAGGTCCGTCGGCATATATCTCTGGTACTTGAAAATCTGAACATTTTTGCAAAGCTTCCTGAGCTTTGCTTGTGGTTTTCAGGGAAAAGCGCTTTCTAAATGATCTAGATACATGTGATGCTACCACAGGTTGCTGGTCACTAACGACACCTGATAAAGTCTCCGGAGCTAGCTTTGAATTGAATTTTGTATGATTGGAAGGATGTGGATCTACTTCCTCTTGAACAACTTCACCTTGCATTGCCAAAGTTTGCTTCTCTGTGAGTGTATCAATTGATGATGCATTCATTTGCAAATTCTGCTTTGACCGATCGAACGGCTCTGGGAGATCTTCTTCTGGAATTTCATCACCCTGGAAGCACAATAATTGCAGTCAACACAGCATGGTACTTGAAAAGAAAACAGTTAGAACAGCATTAGGTAAGTTTTATCTTCCAGAGTTAAAATGTTTTTCATCACTTTTCCAAAAATGTAGGTTTTAACATGGCCACTGTATGTTTGCTTTAACTTAGGTCTGCCGTGAGCATATCAAACCGTTATTGCTGAATAGAACTAGCCACAAGACTTAACTAATTATAAGCTTTCATTTTCAAGTACAGGTAAAAGCTTTCATCTAGGAACAACATGATAAGATTTGTTCCATTCTAAATAGTTGGTCATTGCTACAAACAAAACCAAGTACTGTAATAAATGAATAGCCTCAGAATGACTAATCTTTCATATTTAGAAGTATTTCAAGTAACTTTAACCACCGGGACCCTAGAACTAAGCACAAATTTTTGGTACCTAAGGCTCAAAAAGTAATGGGGCAGTATGTATTTGCTATAACTACAAGTGTACTTGACCAGGGGGTTATTGCTAGAACCAGCCATTGGACTTCATCAAGTAAAGGCCTTCAGGCCTCACATACAAGCAAACCATATCTAACAGATGGTTAATGGTCCAAATAAATGAGTTTCTTGCATTTCTAAACGAACAGCTTCATAACACTACTGTTTCTTAGTTCTTCTTTATCATTTTTTTTGTAATTTGCGATTTCTAATTAAAAGAACATTAGGTAAGCTTAAGATATAGAATGCTAGAACTTAACCATCAGGCCTAATACAAAAAGGTATTAATACCTCAGGATGAGCCTTGCTATAGTCCACAAGACGAGCTCGAAAAACCTTCCTTAAATTCAGATTCTTAGTCTCAGATTTTGAGTTGTCCCCAAAGTCAATCGCATCCAGAATGATGCTTAAATGGAGATCTGGTTTCATGCAACTAGTCATCTCATCAAACCTCCTATAAAACATCAAACCCAAAAACTAAAATACTCAAATAAAACAAAACAAACAGAACTTAAAAACAAACCATTATCCAGCACTAACTGAGATGATTAAGGTGAAATTACCTATCAGTTAAACACTCTATTTTGGGGCTGATATTTGGAAAAGTGGGCGTTGACCCCTTCGATCTTAGCAGCTGGATTGCAGAATCTAAGCTATTGTAAAACTCACAATATCTCGTACCTATTCCAACAGGCTTCAATCAATAACAATATTAAAAAAAGAAATTAGGCTGAGTGTGTCAAGCGGACCTACTTTTCAGGGAGTCTGTCGGGATGGCCACCGGAGGCTTTGGGTGGAGGAGATTCAGTGGGCCAGGATAAGATCTGCTTTCGGGCTGACTTGATCTGGACGTTAGAAGCTTTGGATCGAGTCTGAGCCACTTGCCGGATCTCCTTAACGGAGAGGGCGACCCCACGGTTACGAGCACGGTTGGGGAGCCGGGAGGAGTTCTTTTCCGGGGTTTTGGAAACCGGAGATTTCGAGGTTAGGCTCCGAGAAACCTTGGATTTCAAAGGGGTTGATTTGAGAGAATCTGAGGAGCTCATAGCTTAAAACTTACAGAGCAGACAAAAAAATAGGCAAAAAAAAAAAAATTCAGGTGACCCTACGGCGGAGGAAGTAAAGATCGGGGTAAATAAAAAAGAGGATTTTTTTCTGGCGGGAAGGAACAACTATCAATGCTTGACACGTGTATTCCCGCCAATTTGGTACGTTACGTCTAATGATTGAGAGTAGTGTAAACGATTATATTTTCATACAGGGATATGATATCCCATTTAAAAATCAGACTCAAAATGAAGTTTTCGATGGCCTAACATATTAAAAAGTGTTGCGAGTTCTTGGAAAGGCTTATTGGGTTTAAACTAAGCTACAACATGGGGAGGCTTAAATTGTTATTTTTTGGGTTCATTATAACAAAAAAACAAATATAGAAAGTTAGAGGTTATTTGTTTATTTTAGAATGATTAAATATTAAATTATTTAAATGTTAAATTATTTAAATACTGAATGATTCAAATGTTGAATGATTCAGATGTTTTGAATGATTTAACTCTAAATATAACATGTTATTTGATAATTGACTCTGAATAATTCATAATATACTTTTATATTAAATTATTCAGACTGAATCAATAAGAGACAAACAAACAGCACCTTTCGCCTTCCTTACTTCGGCTGCGCAAACCAATACAATAAAAAGTATTACTCGCCTTCACGTCTCCTTCATTCAATTTTTAATTTTTAATTTTCAGAGAGGAGGAGGAGAGGAAGAGAAGCCCAAATAAACCCATTTCTTTTAACTTGTTAAATTGATTAACTTTGTAATTTTAGAAACGATTCACTAAAGGATTGAATCTTTTCTTTCTTATTTTCTTCCACGCAACAAACCATTCTCTTCACTTCCTTTCTTTCTTGAAGTTCTCCTTGTAGCGGTCAACCTTCTGCTGTATTGATTTCTTGTGGAGTAATAATTAGTGGGCGTTGGCCTCTTTTGTTCTTTCGGTGTTATTGGAGCTGCTCGTTGGTGGGTCGGAGGTGAATTCCGATACTTTTTGTTATTTTTTTCATGAACGGATAATCTTGCCATGGTTTGGTTTTGCCACTTTCTTTTTCTTCTGCAGAATTTATTTGGATATAATTTGGATAAATCTGTGTCTTTTAAGCAGTTTGTTTTTATTTTGTTTCATATTTGACTTAAAATTCGCCAAGATACCTTCTTTCTTAGCATGTATAGAACTTTATTTGCAAAGAATAAGCACAATTATTGCTAAAATTTCATCTCTGTTTGGTGTTTTATTACATAATTATTCACTTATGTTTTATGGTTTGTCTATAATGGTGTGCATTTAGTCGCTACTATTTGTGTTCAGGATCGAATTAAGTTTCTTCGATCAAATTGCTGCATCTCGTAGCTTGTTGCCAGCTGGTTCTTCTAAGGAAAGATCGTGGTTTTGCTCCAGCTTATGATTTGCAGGTATTTGAACTCAGTTAATTATTGTAAGGATTAGTAAAAATCTTTTGTAATGATTTGTTTCTTTCATTCTTGTTCTCTTGTCGTTTCAGTAGTTGAATTTTATGTTAGAATGATCTCCACTATGTTTTGTGTACTTCATAATGTTGTTTAGACCCTTCATTGTTCTGATGCATATAATAAGGGATTAATTTTCTGTTTTTCTTCTATTTACCCCCGCTCCCAGTGCATGTGAGCATTTGAATACATACCATGCAAAATGAATTTATCTGATTTTCTTCTCTTTGGAAGAATTTGCCATAAACACTTGGGTTTTGGGATGGACTGGTTGTTTTTCCCTGCCATCAAGATTTATAAATGATGTTCCGTCGGCAAAAGGCTGCAAACTCTATTGGCATATTTAAGTGGAAATGGGGCGGTGAATCGTCTTTGAGAACAGGCTTACTAGGTGATGCGCCTCCTGAAATTGAGTTATCTGGATATGGAAGAGTACCACCAAGTTCTGGTAGTGAGAGCCCTTCAGGGCTTCTTAATGGTGAGACTTTGAATGTGGAATCGATTGCTGACTTGGACTTGTTCTTTGAACGGCTCTATAGCTACTATTGTGAGAAAGGCCTTTGGTGCATCATTATAAAATGGATAGTTGAACTTCTGAGCCTAGGCTTTACCATATGTTTCTCTGGGTTTTTCTTATTGTTTGTTGATTGGAATGGTCTCCGAAATGCAAAGTGTGGTATGGATGCATTTGAATCTGGAAGTAAGCAATGTGATCTTTCTAAGGAAGCTCTTCATCAGCACCCATTAACCCCTTTAACACTTTCAAAAGCAATTATAGTTGGATATTTGGGGCTATTTTCCATCTACTGGATATTCTGTTTTTTTAGGTTTTTTGCACAATTAAAGGATACTCTTGGAATACGTCATTTCTATTATAATAGGTGAGCTTATATTTGATAAGTTACGAGATACACTGGAAGCTTTAAGTTAACATTCGTTACATTAGGAACTTCTTATAAATGTCTAATGACTAATTATATGATTGAAATTATATTTTGCAGTCTCCATGTTACTGACAATGAAATTCAAACCATGCCTTGGGCAAAAATCCTGGAAAGGGTGTCCTATTACAAATCTCACAGAAACTCTGTGTAGTCAAAGATCTTTCTGCTCATGATGTTGTTATGCGATTGATGCGGAAGGAGAACTACTTGATTGGAATGCTTAATAAAGGAGTGCTTGCATTTCCTCTCTCAACCTGGGTTCCGGGTGCTGGTCCAACTTTCAAACTTGGCCCTGATGGAATGCAACATCGTCTAATACTGACAAAGACACTAGAATGGACCTTAAATTGGTGTATACTGCAGAGCATGTTTGACCGGTATGTCTAATTTTCAATGAGCATTTTGACTTTCTTATTTATGTATGTACTTTCCCTTGCATTTGTTCCAACATGTATATTTAAGCGAAGTAATCTATGGAAATGTCTTGACTTCCTACTATCAGACTAATAATAAATTTACTTATTTTTTTAAAGCATAATATTTCATTTTCAAGAGTATTATACAATCCTTCTTTGCAAAGTGGCATAACAAAATGCAGTTTTGGTGTTGGTAGGGCTTTTTTTTTTGGGATAACTTTATGTAAATGGTCCGTGTCTATGTATCTTGACATTTTTGTGGTGAAGGAATGATGTACTTGTTCTTTGTATCATCTTGTTCTTGATTTCAGCACATAATAGCTGATTTGGTGCTTTAATTTTCAGAAACACTTATATTTTTTTTTCCTACAAAGTCTTTGACTTTGGTAGTGCTGGGTCTTTAATGGTGATATCGTTTCATAAGTAGCTAGAAGGAGTTGATTACAATAAATTTTCTTTTGCAAGAAACAAATTTACGAAGTACTTCAAAGTTAAAATATTATGCTGAAATTTACATTGGAAAAGTTTTTGAGTTTTTTTGTTAATAACTTTCTAGCCAAAAACAATGCTATTAGTTTTCCTTTTTTGAAGAAAAGAAAAAAAAACTACTGAACTTTTGGGGGTTATAACCAACTTCTTTTGGGAATGTATTTTTTTTTTACAGAAAGTTCTGTATTAGAGGGGACTTCATTTCTAATCCTAGAACATTGAAGAATAGGCTCATGGTTGTCGGGCTTGCTATGCTTCTTCTCTCCCCGTTCCTTGTTATATTCATGGTGGTTTATCTCTTCTTAAGACATGCTGAACAATTCTATAATCACCCAAGCACAGCTTCATCCCGGAGATGGTCAAATTTGGCAAAGTGGATGTTTAGGGAATTCAATGAGGTACCATCATCCCCTTTCTAAGGATTGATCCACTACCTAACCTCATAATTTTGCTATTATGAACTAGGACTCTTGAGCGGAATGTTAGTCATTTGTTTGAAGTTACATTCTTGTGTTTTTGTGAATGTTTTAATTTTTACAAATCCAATATACATGCGCATATATATATAAAGAAGAAAAATTCTCGTGGAACCTACTGTGAAAATAGATGACAACAAATTTTTCTTCAGTGGATATTTATACTTCTAGATTCTCTTGTTTTCACATACTGTAATACTGTCTCTTTGCATATGCTGTTGTCTTTTGACTTACAGGTTGACCATTTATTCAAGCATCGGATTAATAGCAGTGTAATGCATGCGTCTGAGTACCTAAAGCAATTCCCCTCACCAATTATTTCCATCATTGCAAAGTTTATCTCATTTGTATCTGGTGGCTTTGCTGCCGTCTTAATCATCATTGCCTTTCTGGAAGAATCTTTGTTAGAAGGCCATGTAATGTTTTTGAACTTCCATCTTTTCAGTCTTCTATTTTATATCTGTATTTTAATTCAGTTATTTATTTATTTTGTTTTTGATTGTATAGATATTTGGTCGGAACTTGTTTTGGTATGCTGCTGTTTTTGGAACCATAACAGCTATTAGCCGAGCTGCTGTTACAGATGAAATTTTGGTCCTTGATCCAGAAGGAGCAATGTCTATAGTGGTGCAACATACGCATTATATGCCAAAGAGATGGCGTGGTAAAGAAAATACTGAAACAGTCCGAATAGAGTTTGAAACTCTGTTTCAGGTATCAAGCTTGGTTCCTATCTTTGTTTTACCAGTAATCTAGGAGTTGCGTGCTTGTTCAATTGTAAAAATCTTAGACTATAAGATGTTTTGAGGGTCATATATAGGGGTGTAAACGACAGAGTGTTTGGTGAAATGTTCTTGAATCGTTCGTATAGCGTCGTTTATGTTTGTTTGTTAAGCTAAATGAACGAACATGAACAGAAAAATTTATGTTCATTTAATAAACGAATAAACACGAACAAAGGTGTGTTCAGTTCGTTTATGTTCACGAACAAGCTCGTTTATGAGTTTTTTTTTATGTTCATGAACAAACTCGTTTACCCGATTCTCCTTTTCCTTTATTTTTTTATATTTTAAATATTGGTGAGGATAAGAATTAAATAGAATACATGATAAAAGTTGTATTTTAAACTATCAATTTTAATGAGTTTAAGAACCAATGACTTAATTTTATCATTTTTTAGCTTGCAAATGAAATTAAAAATTGAATATAAACAATGATAAATGAACACTAAATGAACGCTAAACGAACATGTTCATGAACACATTCGTGAACATATAAATGAACACGTTCGTGGACATTAAATGAACGCTAAACGAACATGTTCATTGTCAAAAACTCGTTTTTCTCCCCCCAATTATATTACTTTATGTAGAAAAATACACAATTTAAATATACACATTGCTGCCTTATCTTAGGAAACTGCTAAGCTCGATAGTAATGATTCTAGGAGTAATTCTAATCCCTTAAATTTAGGGATCCTAACTAGTAGATATATTTACAAAGATCCTACATAATCTTCCTAATTTAGGAAGCTAATCTCAGGAAAGTCTGTTCACTTCAACATGTTTTGTTCTTTCATGTTGAATGAATGTGAGCAATATTAATTGTTGACTTCTTATCAAAATATAACTTCATTGGTCTGTCCATTTGACCTTCAAATCTTCTAAATGATCTTCAGCCATAGTAACTCACAAATTCCCTAAGCCATAGCTCAAAAACTCATCTTTGCACTTGATCTAGCCACACCATTTTGCTTTTTGCTCCTCCAAGTAACTAAATTTCCTCCAAAGAAAGTACAGTACTAGAGGTTGATCTTCTATCACCTATGGATCCAGATAGTCTGCATCAATGTATGCTTCTAGAGTCAAAATTCCCCTTCTTCTAAACAGAATTCCTTTGCCTAGTGTCCTTTTTAAATACTGCAAAATTTGACTCACAACCCTTAGATGTGATTCCTTAGGATTGTGCATGGATTGGCTAACAATTCCAATAACATATGCTATGTCTGGTCTAGTGTGTGACAAATAAATAAGTCTTCCCACAAGTCTTTGAAATGAACTATCAACTGCTGCATCATCATCATTTTTTGAATATCCAAGCTTATGATCAACCTCTATTGGTGTTTCTGGCTTACACCCTAGTTTTCCAGTCTCCTTCAACAAGTCCAGATTATACTTTTGTTGAGATATAAAAATCCCCTTCTGTGAATGTGCCACTTCAATTCCAAGGAAATATTTTAATATTCCAAGTTCCTTAACTTCAAACTCCTTTATCAGACACTTCTTTAAACTACCAATTCCTTCAAGATCATTTCCTGTGACAATTATGTCATCTACATATACCAAGAGTGCAGTCACTCCCCCTGAAGAAGAGTGTTTTACAAATAAAGTATGGTCACCTTGGCTTTGTTTAAATCCTTGTCTCAACATCACTTTAGCAAACCTTCCAAACCAAGCTCTAGGAGACTGCTTTAGTCTATATATAGTCTTTTTCAACTTGCAAACTGCTTGTTCAGTACTTGGTTAAAATCCAATCGGTATATACATGTACACTTCCTCTTCAAGGTCTTTATGTAAGAAGGCATTCTAAATGTTAAACTGCTGCAAATTTCATCCTTGAGTAGCTGCTAAGGACAATAGAACTCTTACTGTTTTCATCTTTACAAAAAGGGCAAAATTTTCAAGGTAATCTATTCCATAGGTTTGAGAATATCCCTTTGCCACAAACCTTTATTTGTACCTTTCTAAGGAGCCATCTGATTTATACTTAACTGTAAACACCCATCCACATCTCGTTGTTTTCTTCCCTTTTGATAGTTTCACTATGTCCCAGGTTTTATTCTTTTCCAGTGCTTCCATTTCATCTTTCATAGCCTTTTTCCAGTTTTCATTCTCTAATGCCTTGAAAATAGTCTTAGGAATAGTAATGGTGTTTAGGCTGGTAAGGAAAGCTTTGTGACTAAGAGATAGGTTTTTGTAAGTCGTGAACAAATAGGAAGGATGCTTAGTGGTACAAGTTCTTTTTCCTTTTCTAATAGCAATGGGAAATTCAAAATCAGAATTAGACATAGCATTTTCAGTAGTTTGATTAGGAAGAGTTTAAGAGTGTACCTCATATTGTACAGGAGTAGGAGAAGGGGATAATTGAATCTGCATAGGTGCCTTCTTCCTTGAATAGACCAGTAGAAGACGAGTAGTGTCCTGGATGGATGGTTGTGTTGTATTGGGTTCTGGTTGTGGAGAAGTTGAAGTAGTAGTTGGCTGAGCAAACTGTGTTCTCTATATTTGGTCAGTGTGTAGGGAAATCAATAAGGGGTTGAAGTAGGTAAAAATCAACATCCTTATCTTCCTTAAATGATATTCCCCTGAAGATAAGGAACAAAATAACTCTCTTTTTCAACAAAGGTAACATCAACAGAGGTGTAGTATTTTCTTGTAGGTGGGTGATAGCATTTGTAGCCTTTTGGAGTGGAGGAATAGCAAATAAATATACATTTTGGTGCCCTTGGATCAAGTTTTCCCCTTCCTTGAGAATGTATGAACAAAGCAACACACCCAAATATTATAAGTTTTAAGTTAAGAAATGGTCTAAAATTTGGATAGAATTTTGTGAGGACTTGAAGAGGACTTTTGGAGTGGAGGAATAGCAAATAAATATACATTTTGGTGCCCTTGGATCAAGTTTTCCCCTTCCCTGAGAATGTATAAACAAAAGCAACACACCCAAATATTCTAAGTTTTAAGTTAAGAAATGGTCTAAAATTTGGATAGAATTTTGTGAGGACTTGAAGAGGACTTTGGGATTCAAGGACTTTAGTGGGTGGTTTATTTATCATGTAGGTGGCAGTTAACACATTTTCTCCCCATTAATGTTTAGGGACTTTGTTTTGAAATAGAAGAGCTCTAGTGGCAAGGATCAGGGATTCAAATCATGGTCGCGGCCACGTTTTCGGTCGCGTTACGTTTATCACGGTCGCGGACGTAACAGATGCTATCGCGGTCATTGTTGGTATCGCGGACGTGAATTTTTTTATTTCGCACAACTTATTACAAAATATAATAAATTATAATTATAATTATAAAAAATCAATTTTAATGATTTTTAGAGTGTTTCTAACACTTATGAACTTCTAAAAACTTTTATTAATACATGAGCATAATTTTTACCATCATTAATTATTTTTATATTTATTTATAAATTTCTTAAAAATATTATACAAGAAACATAAAATTAAAATTAGAATTTATAAATAAAAAACAATTCATTATTTCTATTATCAATAATATAATACAAAATATAATAAACATTTACTAACAATGAAGAAAAGTAAATTTATTGCATAAATTAATAAATAATAAAAATAATTTAAGTGTATACAATTTAAATTCAACATTCAATCTCTTGAAATAAATCATAATCATTTAAAAAAATAACCCATAAAATTATCTATTATTATTCACTTTCCAAAACAACATATTAAAATTTAAAACTCACAAAACTAAAATAAACCTAACAAAAAAAACCCATAACATGTAACCCAAATCTTATTAATTTATTGAGATTTTTTTGGTCCAAACCCAAAAAATTAAAAGTAAAAAATATTTAAATCTAAAACATAAATAAAATAAATTATTAAATCCCCAAGCCTCTTTCTTCTCCTTCTATCTCTGCATGAGATAAGAGAGGCAGAGATACATAGCAAAATCAGAAAATTGGACTCCCATGTTTATTTTCGTTTGTGATTTTCATCAAAAAGCTTTATTTTTCTTGTAGATGTGTTGTTGAAAGCTTATCCTGTTTCTTTGTTGAAAAATCATCAATTGGAACATGCTGTTCACATGTTTTCCCCTCCTTGTTGTCCAAAAAAACAGGTATGGGTCTGGTCATTTTCCTTCTTTTTACTTTCTTCCAAGCTCTACTCTTCCCTCTAAAACTCATAAAATCTGTGGGTTTCAGTTGATTTGGTGTAACGAGAAATAACGGGAATAGCGGTCCGCTATCACCGTGATCCTCCGTTACCCGTTAAGTTGCGGCCTTAATCGGCCGATATCGGTGTGATTCCGCTTCACACCGCTATTTTGGACAATAGCGGTATCGGACGACGGCGCTATCACGAAATAGCGGTCGCTATCACGTTTGCGCTTCGCTATTTGATACCCTGGCAAGGATGTGGCCATTTTTCCTTTCAGCTACATCATTCTGCTATGGAGTGTTAACACAAGAGGATTCATGGATGATATCTTTCTCTAGAAAGTAAGAAGATAGGACTTGATTAAAGTTGCCCTTGGCATTGTCTGATTTGAATTTTTTTATTTCAGTCTCAAATTAGGTTTTAGTCATGGTGTAGAAAGTTTTAAAAGTAGGGGTAATATCTGACTTTTGTTTTAGGAGAAAGATCCAAATAACTCGAGTACAATCATCTATGAATGACACCAACCATTTAGCCCCAATTATATTAGGGATAGTGGAAGGCCTCCAAACATCGTTATGAATAAGAGTAAATGGGTTGGTAGTATTTTTATTGCTTGCTGGGAAAGAGGCATGTTTATGTTTTGCAAGTTCACACACTTCACAATGAAATTCTTCAGTGCTTAAGGAATTAAACAAAGAGGGAAATAGTCTTTAAAACTTTAAAAGGTGGATGACCAATGTGAAAATGGTTTAGCCAGATTTGGTCTTTATTGGCTGTAGATTCTGATAAGAAAGACAAAGGTTGGGTATCCAAGACTCTAACTGGTTCACTGGGTTCTTCAAGGTAGTATAGACTGTTTTCTTCCCTAGCATGCTCAATCATCCATTTCGTTTCTTACTCTTGAAAAATACATTGTGTAGGATAAAATAAAACATTGCAGTTAGTATCTTTGATAAATTTCTGGATAGATATGAGACTGGTAAACAATTTTGGTATATGTAGGACATTTAAAAAAAAGGCTTTTCACTTATGGCAATATCTCCTTGACCAACAACTATTATGATAGTGCCACTTGCAATTGTGATTTTCTTACTACTAGGACAGGGTGTGTAGGTAAGGAATTTGAGGGAAGAATTAGTCATATGGTCTGTGGCTCCCGAGTCAATTATCCAGAAATTTTGAGCAAGTATATGGGTGGATAGTTTCGAGACATTAGAATCCTGAGAAAAGGAAGAGGATTTACCTGAGAAGACCAAATTGCATGTACCTGTAAAGGAAGGTTTCTCCAAGGATTCCAGTAGACTCTTTAATTTTTCAACTTCTTCCCTGTTGAAATCAGCAGATTGTTCTTGAGCAGATTGTTCTTCAGCCTCCTTAACAAGTTGTTTAGTTGTATACGCTTTGCTCTATCCTCTTGATGAACCCCCTCTCTCTGTAAAATTCTTACTTGCTGATTGAGGCTTTCCATGTAACCTCTAACATTTATCTTTAGTGTGGTGTGGCTTCTTGCAATAAGTAAGGGGTCTTTGTTAACTGTTCTTGTTGCTTCTGGTCTACCTTTAAAAATTTGTTGTTCCAGGCGTGTTGGTTCCTCAATTACAGCCCTAGTGACTAAGGTTGAACTCTCTATTTGACTATTTTCAACTACTATCGCCCCATTTTTCCTTCTTCAGCCTGAATGATAACAATAGTCTCGTTCAGTGAAGGCAAACCTTCTTTATTTGGACTCTCATTGCATTAAACTCGATGCTCAGTCCAGTATGAAAATCATAAATCCTTTCTTTCTCAAGAAACCTTTTTAGGATTGCAGCATCTTCACTGCATTTCATTTGAATGCATTGATAATGATCGATTTCCTGCAAAAGATTTTGCAGTAGGTTAGAATATTCTGTAATTGACTTGCTTCTCTGTTTAGTAGATGAAACCTTGCTCTGGATTTCATATATCTAGACAGCATCTCGAACCTTTGAATAGGTTTGTTTCACAACCTCCCATATCTTTTTGGTTGTCCTAAGAAACATACATGTGTCACTAATCTCAGGCACCATTAATTCCACATGCAAGACATAACTAATGAGTCTTGCTCATCTCAAACTTCAAACCTAGGGTCTCCTTCTTTAGGGCCATTTCCTAAGAGATGACTGAGTTTACCTCTTCCATTTAGAAACTTTCGAACCAACTAGGACCAACAAAGATAGATTTTACCATTCAATCTATAGGCTGCTTGTTTATTTTGTAAGTCACTAATAGGATTGGGGTGACTTCCTTCACTCATTGTGCCTTTTTGAATGGTTTCAACTCTACAAGAATCAGCCTCATCACCCATATTTTTATTGGGCAGATACTTGGTTCTTTGAAGAGAGTTTAAAGGATACGTAGGATTCTTTAAGTTAGTATAACTGGACTCGAAAAGAAGAGCTGGAGAGGCTCTGATACCATGTCAAAACTGATTTATCTCTCCCTCAATTATATTACTTTTATAGAAAAATACACAATTTAAATATACACATTGCTACCTTATCTTTGGAAATTGCTAAGCTAGGTAAATAATTGGTTCTAGGAATAATTCTAATCCTTTAAAGTTTGGGGTCTTAACTAGTAGAATATATTTACAAAGATCATACATAATCTTCCTAATTTAGGCAGTTAATCTTTGACATTCATGAACACATAAACGAACACGTTCGCGAACATTAAATGAACATGTTCGCGAACATTAAATGAACATGTTCGCGAACATTAAATGAACATGTTCGTGAACAATAAATAAACGAACACAAACACCTTTAAAAATAAACAAACGAATACGAACACCTTCAAAAATAAATAAACAGCCTTGTTCGTTCAAACTCGATTTATTTACACTCCTAGCCGTATGAACAGTTGTATTTCTCATTGCTTTCCTTGGTGTTCAAAGCCCAGTTTAATTGCTGTGTTCCGTAGGTTATTATTTTTGTCTCTTTACTTCAGACTTTTTGAATTATTTTTATTCATCGTATTTTTTTAATGTTGTGATGCAGTATACTGGAATGATGTTGCTGGAGGAGATTGCCTCAATTTTCCTCACTCCATTCTTGCTTCTATTTGTTGTGCCAAAGGTTTTTCTTTTTTCCGGACATTATTTCTATCATTGTCTTGTGCCTGAAATCTTAATTTTTGAACTAAAATGTTGTTTGTTTATTTTTGCAGCGGGTGGATGACATCTTGCAGTTCATTGCTGATTTTACAGTGGATGTTGAAGGTGTTGGTCACGTTTGCAGGTAGAGATTCTTTTGGTATCAGTTCATTACTAGCTCATTCATGTCCAGTTAAATCGAGATAACGTGTCTAATAATTATTCCTTTCCTTGTTTGCAGTTTTAGTGTCTTTGATTTCCAAAAACATGGCAATAGTAATTATGGCTCTCCGCACAATGCACCTCGTGAACAGAGGAGCTCCCAGGGGAAAATGGAGAAATCATTCTTGAGGTATGATTAGGTTAATCAAATTTATATTCTTGCCTACACTTGCACATTTCTTTCTTGCTCTTTGCTTGGTGAATATAGTTTTGTAAATCCAAAATCACCTTAATTCAGTCACGTTCACCGTTTTTTTTTTTTTTTTAATTTCCATAGCTGTTTAGAATTTTCTCTTTTAATTGCCTGTCCAGCTTAGTTGGTAGAGCGCAAGGTTCTTAACCTTGTGGTCGTGGGATCAAGTCCCACGGTGGGCAATTCATAATTGCTGGAGGTCCCACGCTTTTTGTGTGATACTTTTCCTCTGATGAATGACATGTAAAAGGGGTTTCCAGTGCTCAGCTAGGTTTTATGTCAATGGAAGAAACACTGTATTCTTTGTTGTTTATAGATTCATGATGATAAGGTTGGTTCTTGAAAAGCCTCATCTCAATATTTTGGAACATTGCTATAATGATTCACTGTTAGCTTTGTGATGTGTGTATAAAACAAACAATTACAAGTTATTGATCATTTTAAAAATTCATTCAATTTCCACTTATTTTCTTTGTGCATATTTGTGATTTCTTCTTGAGCCAGAATAGGTAACTAACGTTGGCAATTTATGAAACGACAACGTTTCGGTATTTATAAGTTTTCATATTTTGACAATTATTTTTTATAATTTCTCACATCATGTTTTATATTTCCCCCGTCTCTTCACTCTTTAATTCTTTCTCAAGACAAGTGATATTCATCTTTCAAGTACATATTTTGCTTATGGCAGCAGACCGTAACCTTGGATTTCAATCTCTTTCACTCATCAGAGCTCAGCACAATCCAACATATCAGCCTCCTTTGCTTACTTCAGACCCTGCATTTCCAGTACTGGCCATTGTTGTGCTCAGCATCATGTGTACAGCTTTCTAGCTTGCTGGCTATTTTGTTTTTGTGAGCAAATGTTGCACTTCTGACTGGTACCAACTTAACCTGCTAAGCCAAATATCTTTGTTTCGACTGAGACAGGAGGAGGATACGTTCATTGCTTTCTCTCCGATGATGTGGAATTGTGGCCTCGATGAATCAGCCATTCAAGAGATACTGACTTTTTGGTTCGAAAGAGAAGGCAACGAGAGAAGCATCTACGGTTGTGTGGTTTGTCTGAATGAGTTTCAAGAGCATGACATTCTTAGAGTTCTTCCCAAATGCAACCATGCTTTTCACTTGGATTGCATCGATATATGGCTACAAAGCAACGAAAATTGTCCTCTTTGCAGAACGAGCATTTCGAGAAATTTGCAGTATCCGATCAATCATATCGTCGCTCCTAGCTCTTCACCTCAAGACTCAGAGCCATCCAGTTCCGATAGCTTGACCAGTAGGGACGAGGACTTCATAGTGATAGAATTCGGAGAAGGAGATGGAGATGCCCTATTGTCATATAGACAACAAGAAAGGGACAATTCAAGAGAATCATTGTCGTCATTGCGGTTGCAGCCTAGGGTTCAATCATCAAGAAAGCCGGAGCAGAAGCATAGGAACTTAAAATCAAGAAAACAGCATCAGCACCATCTCTCAATTATGGGAGACGAGTGCATTAACGTCAGACAGAAAGGTGATAACTTCTCAATCCAACCTACCAGGAGATCTTTCTCGTTAGATTCCGCCGTCGACCGGCAGCTTCAACAATCGGTTCAAGCCGTCGTTCAACAAAGCAGACATCCCGGAGGGAGTAATACCACCGAAAAATGAAGTAATAGAGCTCAGACATCTTTGTTTCCATTTTAACATGACAGGAGACGGAGAAACGTGGTACTTCTGCCTGAATTTTGATCTGTAATTAGAGATTGCTTAAGATTAGCTTTTTGTTGTTTTGCTTTCTTTAAGATGGATTTTTTTAGAGGCAAATGAGGAAAGCAAAAGAGCGTAGAGTGGCTTTTCAGTATGTTTTTACATAGAGAGAGAAATGGGAAATCATTGCTTAAGGCACTTTGTGGGGATCAGTTTGATTTCATTCCATTTTTGAGGACTCGCTCTTCATGAACGACAATGATTGCAAACAAGACATTCTAAGCTTTGAGTTGCAGAGAAAGACAAACTTATGTTAAGCGAAAAACTTATGTTAAACAAAATGAATGAAATCCGACAAAAATACAAAATACAAAAGAGTGACGAGTTATTGAGGGCATTTAAGAGTGAAATGTTAGAAATCAAACTTATTTATATGAAAGTTGAAGTCAAATATGTCGGCAAAGCTTGGAAGCAACAAGCAACATCTAGAATAGTTAAGAAAATTGTGTAGATAAAAAAATGTGATGAAATTGCAGCAGCAAAATGGTGATGTGGCATCAGCAAAGTAAATGCTTAATTATTAAGAGAAATGAGGAGGCAAAACAAAGTAAAAAAAGGCTCCTTCTTGAAGCTTAAATTAGTCGGTTTAATTAGCTTATAAATGTATGCAAAGTGGATGAGATGGAATATGAGTGAAAGCTTAGAAAAACTAGAGAAAATTTGAAAAGCTATGAGAGAGGGTAAAGCTTAGTAAAACTTAGAATAGCGAAGTTGTGTTTGTAAACTAGCCGCAGCTAGTGTTGTAGTATTGCAGTGTTGTAATATTGGGGTAATGTCGTTGTAACGTATTTGCCTATTATTAATAATATTTCGAGTTATATAAATTACTCAAGTGCCCACCTACGCTTCCATCAAGTGGTATCAGAGCTTAGTTCGAGTTTAACGTGGTGGAGAAGATGACCAATATGATTCAACCACAAATCCCAAGATTGACAAAGACGAATTATGACAATTGGAGCATTCAAATGAAGACGTTACTAGGCTCCCAAGATTGTTGGGATATCATCGAGGATGGTTACACCGAGCCTAAAAATGCAGCAGCAGAAGCAGCTCTGGCCAATGAAGACAAGAAGGTATTGAAGGAATCCCAGAAAAGAGATAAAAGAGAGGTGTTCTTTATTTTTCAAGGAGTAGACGAATCTACCTTTGAAAAAATTTCTGACGTGAAGACCGCAAAACAAGCATGAGAGATTTTGCAAAAATCTCTACAAGGTGTCGAAAAAGAAAAGAAGTAAACATAGTCGCAGCAGCGTGCACTTGCCAAGAATCCAGTCTCCCATAGCCGAAGCAAACATATTGATACAAAGTATCACTTTATACGAGAGCAGGTGAAGAATAAAATTGTGGAGTTAATTTACTGCAGAACTGAAGATCAACTAGAAGACATTTTCACAAAGCCATTGAGGGCAGATACATTCAACCGACTCAAAGAAAAGCTCGGAATGAAAAATCATATTTGAGGGGGAGCGTTAGAATTCAAATCTAATTTTACTACTTATGCTGGCAAGACATGGATAATTCTTGAACATTATGGAAATCAATGTTGGCAAAAGAAAAGAAATTAAAGAGGCAATAAGATGATATAGTTGCATGAAGTTTGAAATTGTCAAAGTTGGCAACACACTTGGCAAAAGGTGGCAAAAGCTAGAAGATTCTTGATTAGTGAAGCATGATCTTGAATTACTTAAGAACTAAGCATGGAAAATAAACATGTGACAATTGATGATGGAAGGAAATTTCATTAAGACAAGGAATTCCATGTGGCAATACAAGAAGATTTGGAAATGCCTAGATCTTTCATTAACGAGGTTTAATTACCCTTATAAATATATGCAATGTTTGAGATGTAATACAAGTGAGAAAAATGAAGGCTTAGAAAAGCCAAAATGAATAATAGCTTAGCAAAACTATTAGAGAGAGGGTAAAGCTTAGCAAAGCTATTAGTGAGAGGGTGAAGCTTAGCAAAGCTATTAGAGAGAGGGTAAAGCTTAGCAAAGCTATTAGAGAGAGGGTGAGGTTGTGTTTGTAAACTAGCCGCAACTAGTATTGTAGTGTTGTAATATTGAAATATTGGGGTAACGTTGTTGTAACGTATTTTACCTCATATCAATAATAGTTCGAGTTATATAAATTACTCGAGAGCCCACCTACGCTTCCAACAAGTGGCATCAGAGTTTGGTTCGAGTTTAACGTGGTGGAGAAGATGGCCAACATGATTCAACCACAAATCCCGAGATTGACAAAGACCAATTATGGCAATTGGAGCATTCAAATGAATGTGTTACTAGGCTCCCAAGATTGTTGGGATATCATCGAGGATTGTTACACCGAGCCTGAAAAAGCAGCAGCAGAAATAACCCTAGCTAATGAAGACAAGAAGGTATTGAAGGAATCCCGGAAAAGAGATAAAAGAGAGGTTTTCTTTATTTTTCAAGGAGTAGACGAATCTATCTTTGAAAAAATTTCTGATGCGAAGACCGTAAAACAAGCATGGGAGATTTTGTAAAAATCTCTACAATGTGCCGAAAAAGCAAAGAAGGGGTACGTTTACAAACTCTAAGAGTTGAGTTTGAGATGTTAAAAATGAAAAATACAGAAAACATCGATGATTATATTAGTTGTGTAAAAGCGGTCGTGAATGAAATGAAAAGAAATGGTGAATCACTTGACGATGTTAGAGTGATGGAAAAAAATTTACGGTCATTAACAAGAAAATTCGATTACGTGGTTGTGGCAATCGAAGAATCGAAATATTTATCCCAAATATCGATCGATGAGCTTGTGGGTTCACTTCAAGCCCATGAGCAGAAAATGAAACAAAATGAAGATTTTGAAAATTTGGAGCAAGCTCTACAAAGCAAGATGAATGTTAATGAAGGAGAAGCTAGCAACAGCTACACACGAGGAAATCGTGGTGGTTATCGTGGAAGATACAGAGAAGGATTCAGAGCCCGAGGTAGAGACAGATATCAACAAGGAAATAAATCTTAGGAAATGAAGAATCTATTGGCGATGAAAAGAGGAGAAAAAATTGGAATGGAAAATCAAGTTTGAGGGGAGTGTTAAAAATCAAACTTATTTATATGAAAGTTGAAGTCAAATATGTCGGCAAAGCTTGGAAGCAACAAGCAACATCTATAATAGTTAAGAAAATTATGGAGATAAAAAAAATGTGATGAAATTGCAGTAGCAAAATGGTGATGTGGCAGCAACAAAGTAAATGCTTAATTATTAAGAGAAATGAGGAGGCAAAACAAAGTAAAAAAAAGGCTGCAAGAAAGGAAGAAAGTGGCAGCTTCTTGAAGTTTAAATTAGTCGGTTTAATTAGCTTATAAATGTATGCAAAGTGAATGAGATGGAATATGAGTGAAAGCTTAGAAAAGCTAGAGAAAATTTGAGATAGCTTAGAAAAGCTATGAGAGATGGTAAAGCTTAGTAAAGCTTGGAATAGCGAAGTTGTGTTTGTAAACTAGTCGCAGCTAGTGCTGTAGTATTGCAGTGTTGTAATATTGGGGTAATGTAGTTGAAACGTATTTACCTATTATTAATAATATTTCGAGTTATATAAATTATTCGAGTGCTCACCTAAGCTTCCAACATGAAAAATTATCAGAGGCTATGTGATTAAGCATGAAGGAAATTGAGTTTTTTTTTTCTTTTTCTAAAGGTGATTTACAACTCTAAAGGTTAGAAAAAAAATTCTGCTTTTGCCAGTTTTTCACCCTAAAAGTTAGATGTTTGGGATTCCTTTTGAGTGTAGCACATCTTTAAACGTTTTCGAACGGTACCTTAGTTTACAAGTCATATATAGACACGTGAAAAACTCTATTTCTAACTAAAGTAGAATATAACTTGTTTGCAATACCCATAAATATTAACTGACATCATCTTAACGTAACAGGAAGGTAGAAAAAGAAAGTGAACTACATTGCTTTATAATTAGAAATTTTGATGATGCAAGTGCATACGTACGCCTGTAAAAAGGCTTTTTATTTCTTTATCAAGGATTTTAATTCACCCCCTTTTGCTTCTTGTACTCTAAGCCTCTACATTCAAATTGAAACTATGGAACTTCTTTCAAGCTGGTGTTCCGATGGATCCTTGCCGGAAAGTTACGTGATGCCACTGGAGATAAGACCCGGCGACCTCATTGTTCCGCTGGAAAAATCCATCCCGGTGATCGATCTTCAGCATAACGATCGAAACAATACCATTCAACAAATTCTGAAAGCCGGTGAAGAATTTGGATTTTTCCAGGTTCGAATAATTTCACGACAAAGCATATCATGGCTGCTTCATGCACTACTAATGCATATTTTAAAACACTACAGATAATCAACCATGGAGTTTCCGAGGATTTAATGGACGAAACGATGAATGTTGCAGAGGAATTCCATGCAATGCCAGGCGTGGATAAGGAAAGGGAATGCAGCAAGGACCCCAATGGGAGCTGCAAGCTGTACACAAGCAGCCACGTTTATCCCAGGGAGGATATTCACTTGTGGAGAGATGCCGTGATGCACCCTTGCCGTCCTTTGGATCAGCACATTCAGTTTTGGCCTGAAAACCCAACTAGATACAGGTAAATTATCACGTCATTCCCAATCAAACTTTATACATTACGTTATACCTACTCACAAAATCCTCCTACAACCTATTAAATCTCTACCAAGAAAATTCTTGGAAGACTCCACCCTCTCAAGAGAGTCTCCAAAAGTTCTATAGAGACATCACACCACTTTCGGAATCATGTTCCGCCGAGATCATTCTCTGTCGTTAACATGACATTTGACAGAGTCAATTCTGATAATTGACAGGTATATCTACTTGATTTAGCAGTCTATTAACAATACATGCATGATGACCTTCAGTCCAGTTGTTCTATAACCAAGATATAGAAGAAAACTCTCTCTTATATCAACTCCTTTATCTGTAACATCTATTTTCTCTCCCACGAGAACTTTCTCCTCTCCCATAGAGAATAGTCGATTTACTGCTGTTCTTACATCGGTTGTGGTTTTTTACTCAAAAAAGTAAATCGTCGACAACCAACGCAATTCACTTATTCCCATCAGCATATGACCTATCTCAAACTTTTCCAGTTTTTTTTTTTTTTTTTGGAATAAAAAACGATGTGAAAATCAAAAGAGAGTAGCAAATAGTAGTGTTCATTGCACTGTAACGTTGTCTCCTTCAAAGGCTTCTTCCAGCTCCAACGGTGGTTCATGGAGGAAGTGAATACCAGGAGAACGGTTCCATGCTAAACCATCAGCAACTTTATTGCAACTTTTTCCAGTTTTTAATGTGCACGAAATATTCCTCTTGACTGTTTGACAATATCATTCTTTTTCTGTTCAGAGAAGTAGTTGGGGCTTATTCAGTTGAGTTATGGAAACTGAGTTGTAGAATCTTGGAGCTTATATGCGAAGGATTAGGGCTTAACATTAATTATTTCAGCAGCAATGACCTCAGTCAAGTCCCCAAAATCCTGATTAACCACTACCCTCCATGCCCTGAACCCAGTTTAACTCTGGGATTATTCAAACACCGTGACCCTACCATTATCACCATTCTTCTTCAAGGCCACATAAATGGCCTCCAAGTCCTCAAAGACGGTCGGTGGATTGGCATCGAACCGCTTCCTCATGCTTTTGTGGTTAATATAGGCTTCCTTTTACAGGTACATCATCAAACCATTCGTCATAAATTTTCATTTTTTTCCCGATTTCTGAATACCTTTTTTTTTTTGGTTTTATAGGTTATTAGCAATGGGAAACTGAACGGAGCTGAACATCGAGTGGTGACGAATTCAAGAGATGCTCGGACGACTGTTTCTTTCTTCGTGTATCCGTGCGATGATAGCCTCATCGGACCGGCGAAAGCTTTGGTTAATGCAAGCAATCCTGCAATTTACAAGGCCTTCAAATTTTCTGACTTCATTAATGTTTCCATTCTCAACCATGACGATGGAGCTTTCAAGGAGCTTATATACGAGCCCACACCTTAATACTCTGTAGTTCTCCAAGGTTTTAGATTCGAATCAAATAGCAATGTTATGGGATGTAAAATGTTGAAGATTTCAATAAATAATTGTTGATAAATCGGGCAAAGTAAACGAAAGAACACAAGAATTTTAACGAGGTTCGGCAATGTGCTTACGTCCTCGGTGCCTAGGCGGCGCTAGAAAATTTTATTCAATTCTCATAGGTTTAGGTTACATCTCTATTTATAATAGAAAACCCTGGTACATAATTACAAAATTAACCCTGTACCGTACCGCGAGGGCTGCGCCCCGGCACCCCCAACCCACATAATCGTAACCCCCTCTACGAGACTTTCTTTGTAAGGACAGTTGATGTTCGCTGCGTTCACTTCGCTCACTCCGCTCCATCCCCTGTCCTCTTTACCGGTATATTTATGAGCATACCTTACAAATCTCCACCTTGGCGAATATCCTGCCCCTTAGGAAACATTCAATGTGGGTTGGGTTACCTTAGTTCTTTAACAACTTGAAACATTCAACAAGTCCAAGCAATGCTTGAACTTGTCTGTCGTAACTGGCTTGGTGAACATATCAACGGCATTCTCATCAGTGTGTACCTTCTGAAACAAAATCTCTTCAGATGCAACCAACTCTCTGATATTGTGAAAACGTAAATCAATGTGCTTAGTTCTAGCACGATATACCTGATTCTTAACTAAGTGAATAGCACTTTGATTGTCGCAAAGCAGCTGAACTCCACCTTGCTGAACACCCAACTCCTTCACTAAACCAGTGAGCCATAAAGCTTCTTTTGCAGCTTCAGCCGCTGCCATGTACTCAGCTTCAGTTGTAGATAGTGCTACTACAGATTGAACAGTAGACTTCCAACAAATAGGTCCTCCACCAAGAGTAAAAACATACCATGTCGTAGATCTTCTATTATCCAAGTCACCTGCATAGTCTGAATCCACATATCCTACAACCAAAGGATTTTTCTTTGACTACCAAAAACAATTCCATGTCCCACAGTACCCTTTAAGTATCGAAAGATCCACTTGACTGCTTCCCAATGTTGCTTACCAGGTTTAGACATGTACTTACAAACTTGACTAACAGCATGAGCTAAATCAGGACGAGTACATACCATTGAATACATCAAGCAGCCAACAGCATTAGAATACGCAACCTTTTCCATATCTTCAGCTTCCTTATCTGTCTTAGGGCACTGTTCTGATGAGAGCTTAAAGCGGTTCACCAATGGAGTGCTAACTGGTTTTGCGCTGCTCATCGCAAACCTTTCTAGCATTTTTTTCAACATAACCTCATTGAGATAGCCACAGTCTCCTTGAGTCTCTGTCCCTGCAAATTTTCATTCCAAGAATTTTCTTTGCAGCACCTAAATCTTTCATATCAAATTCCTGACTCAATAAAGTTTTCAAACTGATAACATCATCCATATTCTTCGCAACAATCAACATATCATCAACATACAGTAATAGAAAAATAAAAGAACCATCATCAAGGCTCTTAACATAGACACAACAATCATACTCACATCGGTTGTAGCCAATCTTGATCATATAGGAGTCAAACCGTTTATACCACTGTCTCGGAGACTGTTTCAACCCGTACAAAGATTTCTTCAATCTGCAAACTAAATGCTCGTTTCCAGGTTGAGTGAAACCTTCAGGTTGCCGCATGTAGATCTGCTCCTCTAAATCACCATGCAAAAAAGCAGTTTTAACATCCATCTGCTCTAAATGCAAATCCCAACTGGCCACCAATGCAAGTACTGCCCGGATTGAAGTGTGCCTGACCACAGGAGAAAAAATTTCATCATAATCAACTCCTTTCTGCTGTGAAAAACCCTTTGCTACCAAACGAGCCTTGAACTTGAACTTCTCCCCCTCCTTTTCTGTTACTGCTGGTTTCTTCTTATAAACCCATTTGCAACCAATCGGCTCTTTACCCTCAGGAAGGCGAACCAACTCCCATGTACGATTGTGATTCAAAGACTTCATCTCCTCAACCATGGCTGCCATCCACTTGTCGTTTTCCTGACTAGTAACAGCATCATGAAAATTAACCGGATCATCACTGCTAACAATAAGTGCAAAAGAGACCAAGTCTTCAAAACCCAATCTACTCAGAGGCTTTATATTCGTCCATATCACCCTATCTCTGGCGAGACTATAATCCTACAAATCATCCGTAGTGGAACCACCAGAATTCGGTTGAGAAGTTTCTGGTTTCTCAACTGGAAACTGCTCGAAATCCACCACTGTCGTGTCTTTCTTCTGTTGCAACATGGATTGTTCATCAAAAAAACATCTCTATGATCACAATTTTCTTCGCAACTGGATCCCAAAACTTGAATCCTTTGACACCTTTCTTGTAACCCAGAAAAATGCACTCCTTCGATTTTGCATCAAGTTTGGATCTCTCATCAGCAGGTACATGCACATAAGCAGGACAACCAAAAATCTGTAAGTTATCAAAACTAACATCATGACCAGTCCATACCTCTTCTGCAACTTTCCCAGCCAATGATGCCCTTGGCGATCTGTTGATAAGATAACACGCCATATTAACAGCCTCGGCCCAGAAGTGTTTGGGAAGCCTCGCATTCAACTGCAAACATCTGGCTCTTTCATTCAACGACCTGTTCATCCGTTCCGCAACACCATTCTGTTGTGGTGTCTTGCGCACAGTAAAATGTCTCTTAATCCCGTGCTCCTTACAGAAGTGTAAGAACTGTGAATCTGTGTACTCCGTACCATTGTCAGACTGCAAACACTTGATTTTTCGTCCTGTTTGGTTTTCTACCTCAGCTTTCCACAACTTGAACTTCTCAAAAACTTCAGATTTCTGTTTCAAAAAATACACCCAAACTTTCCGTGAAAAATCATCAATAAAAGTAACATAATACCTAGATCCACCCAAAGACGATGTCGTGGAAGGCCCCCATACATCATAATGCACATAATCAAGAATCCCTTGAGTTGTGTGCCTCGCAGTCTTGAAACGGACTTTAGTCTGTTTACCAAGAACACAATACTTGCAAAAATCGAGCTTACAGCTTTTGACACCATTCAACAGATTTCTTTTATGTAATTCTGTCATACCACGTTCACTAAGATGAGCAAGACGCATATGCCACAGTTTTGTAGTATCATCACAGGACTCAACAGAATGAACTCCACCTGCAACGGTACTCCCTAACAATCTATAAATATTTCCTGCAGTCATCTTTCCTTTCATCACAGTCAAAGCACCTTTAACAATTCGAATGGTTTCCCTATCCTCATCAGCCTTAGGGATAAAACCATTCTTGTGCAAAGTGCCCAAAGAAATCAAATTCTTCTTCAAATCTAGGATATGTCGAACACCACTCAACGTCCGAACAGAGCCATCATACATCTTAATTCTGACATCACCAATACCAACAATATTGCAACATCGATCATCACCCAAATAAACAGAACCAGAATTAACCGACCTATATGTCGAAAACCATTCCCTATTTGGCGTGATGTGATAAGAACATCCAGAATCAAGAATCCACGCATCCGTCACTTGAGTCGTTGAAATAGAAAGCATATCACCCTCACTGCAATCAAAATTGTCATCCTCGACCACGTTCACAGACTTGGATGAAACATCACGTTTCTCATCAGTCTGCTTTTTCAACTTCGGACAGTCTCGCTTCATATGTCCCGCCTCCTTGCACTTGTAACAGTGAATTGTCTTCTTATCCCTAGATTTGGATCTGGAATTCCGCTTGCCAGACCCTGCCTTCTCTGGCTTCCGTCCACGGTCTCGATTACCCTTGACATATAAGCTATCGGCTTGAGAGTTTTTCCCTGCATTCTGTTTCCGCTGGTTGTGAGCCAACAAGGCTGCAGTAATCTCCTCAACGTTGATAGTCTCTTTCCCATATGTAAGAGTAGTCACCATGTGTTCATAAGAGGGAGGCAACGAACACAACAAAATCATCGCTCTGTCTTCATCCTCAATTTTTACATCAAGCCGAGCCAAATCAGAAACGATTTGATTGAAGACATTCACGTGTTGCGCCAAATCATGATCGTCCTGCATCTTCAGCCCATACAGCCGCTGCTTTAGATACAGTTTTATCGTTAAGGATTTGGACATAAACTGACTTTCTAACTTCCTCCAAATTTCGCCTGGAGACGATAGATGCATGACGTGATACATAACCTCGTCCGCCAAGCATAATCGTATGGTTCCTGTCGCTCGTTGTTGCAATTCTTCCCAATCTTCCTCCTCCATCGACGCCGGCTTTGTAGGTCGCAAAGCCTTCAGGATCCCCTGCTGCGCCAACAGATCCTTCACCCTTGTTTGCCATAATCCGAAGTTACCCAGACCATCGAATTTCGTGACTTCGAATTTTGCTCCTGACATCTGATACCAATTGTTGATAAATCGGGCAAAGTAAACGAAAGAACACAAGAATTTTAACGAGGTTCGGCAATGTGCTTACGTCCTCAGTGCCTAGGCGACGCTATAAAATTTTATTCAATTCTCATAGGTTTAGGTTACATCTCTATTTATAATAGAAAACCCTGGTACATAATTACAAAATTAACCCTGTACCGTACCGCGAGGGCTGCACCCCCACACCCCCAACCCACATAATCATAACCCCCTCTACGAGACTTTCTTCTTTACCGGTATATTTATGAGCCATACCTTACAATAATAATGTTATAGGATACAAGAAGACTAATTATCTTGTAACCCAATGTCATGCATAAAAATGAATAAATAAAACTTTCGACAAAATCAAATGGAAACAAGTTTACTGCAAACTATACTATAATACTGAGTTTTTCACTCAATTATTTTTTGTGTTTAAATATGTTTGAATTCATTCACTTTTATATATAATAATAATACCAACGATTTAATCTTATCTATAATCAACTTTGAACTTTACTATATATAGGAAGGTATTTATATTTTATAAATTTATTTAAAATATTAAATTTAACAATATATGCGATAGAGTTTTGATC